GGAGGCGGCGGCCGCGGCCGCGGCGGCGGGGGTGCTGTACGGAGGGGACGATGCCCAGGGCATGATGGCGGCGATGCTATCCCACGCCTACGGCCCCGGCGGCTGCGGGGCGGCGGCCGCCCTGAACGGGGAACAGGCGGCCCTGCTCCGTAGGAAGAGCGTCAACACCACCGAGTGCGTCCCGGTGCCCAGCTCCGAGCACGTCGCCGAGATCGTCGGCCGCCAGGGTGAGTGTGGGGAGTAAGGAGGTCCTGCGGGGCACGGCCCTGGGCGTGGGTGGGGAGACCAAAGGAACGAGGTTGGGGCCAAAAACAGCGGACCCGGCGAGTCCCCCAAGTCCATCGCCAAAGGGCCGAGGGTCGACCAGCTGAGAAGGTGGGTCACCTTGCGAAAACCCACGCTATTCCTCTCGTTTTGCCTGATAAAAAGTGTTAAGTTTCTTGCGCCACCCAGTCCGGTGGTGTTCTCTTTACTCGGGCTGTATTCGCGGAACGCCGGGCTGGCGTGGCACCAGAAACCTCAGCGAGGTGGTAAAAGGTCGGGTCAGAGGAGTTGTGGATTCGGTGTTGTATACGGAGAGCTTCGAGACTGCAACTTTGCGCAGCCGGGTGTCTGTCTGGTAAAGGCGCTCAGCTTCCCCTTACCACAGCTTATTCAGACGGAGAGATGGACAGAAATGGAGGCTTGTAGAAGCTCATTCAAGAGGGAAGGGATGTTCAAGTGGTCGGTATCACCACCATCCCCCGCCCCTCCGCTGTTCAGAAACTTAGCTCTTGAAGAGCAGCCTAACTTTGTTGATCTTACTGTATTCCCCTCGGTCGATACATTTTGACTCTCGGTACGGCACATGGGGTGTCTTTTAGAACACTTTACCGTGTACGATGAAGAAAAATTAGATAGGAAGATGATTAAGGAACTTTGTGCGTTTATACAGTTTTCAATAAATTCTCTTTTTCACTTGCCAGCACACCAGTACTGCAGACAAACTCCTCCCACATTGTTCAGACAAAGGACCTATGTCTCAGATTCCAGGACTAGATTTGTGAAGGTGGGGGAAGGGGATGCCCAGAGTACCTCTGTATCCGACATTTTTAGGGAAGGTCCTATGCTCTTTAATGTAGCCTTTCCCCCGTTATTAAAGGGCTCAGTATTACCTGCTGCCGCCTTATTGCACTATAGCTTAGTCTGTTCGATGAATGCCTCTTTACTGTTAGGTTGAGAGCATTGTTGGGGTCAAATAAAGAGATGATGGCGCTGCTGCTTAAATGATCTCATCTTTCCCAAGTGATCTAAAGTACATATAAATAAGAGATCTGTTGAAATGGTGGCTTCACGTATCAGAGTTGGCTCATTTCTTATCTCTAGAATTTTAATAAGAAAAACCCATCTGAAATCTGGAGAGAGGAAAAAGCTTATTTTCAGACTGCCTGATGATTGGCACTTAAAGGCACTGTTCAAATCTGGTTCTATTACATTGAAATAGAGTTTATTCCTATAGTTGGTCTGGTAAATGAGTTTCACATGCCTTGTTTGTTTGTTTGTTTATTTTTGGCGATATCTAGGATAATCCGGAAGAGAACTGTTTCACCTATATAGGATAAAATTATAACATCTCAACTTATAGATCCAGAATGAGTTGGTCATTAATTTAAGAACTTTCAGGAACTGCTTTGTGTCAAGCTTGTATTTTGCTAGCTACTGAGTTTATGGTATGGAGTTGAAATATGAGGTTGATTCAGAAATTTTCTGCCCTTAAGCAAACAGTCTAATAAACAGTGGAACGCCACTAAACTAATGTGAAGTTAATGGCTCTGTCTATAGTGTGGCAAACAAACCCTTGACCCTGGATGGCCTTGGAGAATGGATAGAAGCTTACTTAGCAAACGGACGTTGAAGAAAGACTGAGGAACACTGTGAAGAAAGCTGTGGAGGTGTAATCTCTAGGTGTGATCAGCAAGTAGTGTTGAGTTTTGTTAATACTTAGGGTCTGGAAAGGGGAGTTGTGGAAAAGGGCTAGGTAGGTGGATGTTTGGGCCAGAATATGTAGAACCCTCCACACCATACTAGGATGCCACTTGCTCAGCACAAGTTGCTTTCAGTGTGCTTATGGCGATAGTCGAGGATAACAAAGGAAAAGAACATTTACATGCAAATTTTACTGAGGGACAAGATAACATATTTTGTAGATTTAGTTTAGTATAAACTCTTGTCCTTCACTGTTTTAAACTCTTTAAAGCACTATAAAGTGATCTTTAACTGTGTAGACTGTTATCTTTATACAAATCCATTACTTAAAAGTAAACTGAATTAATTCCAGGATTTTATTTTATACCATCTATTACATGATAGCAAATGAGATAAAGTCTTAGTTTTTCTTTTTAGGGTTTTGCTTTAGGGTTCATTAGCAAATGTGAATCTGTTTATGTTTTAGGACATGAAGACAAATTGCTGACTGTTCCTTTTGCACTTAATGTTTTCCCAGAGTTGACAGTACTGTTAAAAGTATGTCATCATCCTCTGTCATATCTTAAGAGCACAAAGTCTTGCCCTTTTCCTGTTTTGAACCATTCAACTAGTGGATCATTGACCCCTTTGCTACCCCCGCTCCCCAGCAGCATGGTAATAAAACCTGTAAAGTATTTGCTCAGTACTCTGGATGAATAGGTGACTTCTAATGTTCACATCCTTCTACACTGTGATAATTTCCCCATAGGAAAGTACCTGTCCTAAGTGAGTAAAATAGGGCAAATCATATTTTCTTATTTGCTTTGAAGGAGTTAAAATTTCATTCTTAAAAATTATTCCTGCTGTTTATTCATTACCTGAAGTCATAATTTTCTGTTTGACATCTCTTAATTGGTTATGGAAATAATTGTGTTACAGATGGGGACATTTATGACTTCATCTCTGAAGCAAAGAATAGGACAAATGGAATTTTGAGTCACAGAGACTAGCAGCTTATGTAGATGGCCTGTAGTTCCAGTGTCTTTCAAACACACAAACCACTGCTTTTGATAGTGATGAAAGTTGGCAGAGTTTGACCTAGTATTTATACTCCCTGGTAGCATATGCTTGTTTGTAAATGTTAACTTGGCCTTGTTTTTTAAAGCTTTGCATCTGTTGTGAAACTAACAATACTGTAAAATAAAGCAAGGAACTAAAGAGGTTTATTAACTATAAAGAAGTTTTAGAATATGGATTTCAAAAATAAACCTGACAACAGATTTTAAGACCTAATTTTGTAAACTTAGAAACATCTCTTTTTAAGTGTAGTACCTGCAAGACACATTGACAGTTGTTAATAGATTAATTAAAGTCAACAGGTTTTGTTCAGTTTGTACAGTCATTGATATCCAGTTAGATTAAAAAGTGAATTAAAGTAGAACTCTATACCCATTCTTAATACATTATAATTAAATATTGAATTTCATAAATTCAGTTGTTTAAAGACTCATAACCCAAGGTTTTATATTACTATTTAAGATAAATGTGCATATTCAACTGTTTTCATTATGACTGATGGTATATGTGTGTTTTCTAGCCTCGAAGAGTCATCTTCAACTTTTTTGGGTTGTACACCCTGTCAAAAATTTAAGCTTGTACTCCCAATATCTGAATATTTATTTATGAATACTATGTATGCTAATATATATTATAAAACTAAAAATTTTAAAGAATGAGGTAAAAATGGCAATAGGATTTTTAATTTTTTTTCTACACTCCAGTGGGTTTTCTTGCACCCTGCTTTGGCTATCACTGAGCTAGACATTTTGGAAATATTTTTCTTCTTTATTGAGCTACTCTGTCTCCACAGATCCCCAATGGTAGTATGCGTTGTCAATTTTTAAACAATTAATATTTTACATGGTTTCAAGTTGTCTTAAATCATGCTTATGACAGCTTTTCGAAATTTCTTAGGGTTAGAACCACCCTTCAAGCTCTAACACAACTGAAATAAGGTTGTATGCATGTTTGTCAAGGAGAAAAAGAGAGAGCTTGGTCTTACTGTACATAAATTAACTATTCAAGAAGAAATACACATTCATGAGAAGAAACCCTTTGAGAATAATGCTGAAAGCACAGTGTCTTTTTCTTTTGTGGGAGGGGAGAGATTGTTGACCTTCTCTTTAAACAGTGCTGTATTAGGTATTTTACCAGTGCCATTTAACCCTACTAGGTGATTATCACCGTTTTACAGATGTAGAGACTGAGGCTCTGAAAAATAACTTACTCAAACAATGGAACTTGGATTTAGACCAGTTTGTTTGATATCAAAAATAAAGTCTTTTCCACTCTTCATTGTTCCTTCAGTATTGAGGCATTTTGCTCCAGAAGATTAATAATATCTTGGGTTAAATTGTGCCCTAATCATCTGAGTTGGGATACTGTATTTCTAGTATGAATAATTTATTTATTTATTTATTTTTATTTTTATTTTTTTTAAAAGATGACCAGTAAGGGGATCTTAACCCTTGACTTGGTGTTGTCAGCACCACGCTCACCCAGTGAGTGAACCAGCCATCACTATATGGGATCCGAACCCGTGGCCCTGGTGCTGTCAGCACCACACTCTCCCGAGTGAGCCACAGGCCGGCCCTAGTATGAATAATTTAAAATATCAATATTCAAATTAGCTTATTTAATAAAATTTTGGTGTCTCTACTGCCCAGCAGGCAAGTTATAATATAGTTCTAATGTACTAACGAAAGAATCACTTATTTATAGTTGAGAAAGTTATTTGTTTATATATAAGTGCTAGCTTTAAAAATTAAATATTATAACTTTTCTAGGCTTTAAAATTTAAATTTAGTTGATAATGGTTTGTATTAGCTCTGGGACCACTGGGAAAGGTTCAATTACTATAATTGTTTTGCAAATGAGTGGGGGATCTACTGCCTTTTCTTCCTGCCTTATTCAGCTAATGAGCTATTCTGATTCACTAGGGAGGAAATGTGAAATAAAGTGGTAATTCAAGGGTGTGTTTTCTACCCTGTGGTTACCAGCAACCTAAAAATGATCCAGGGAAGCCGCACATTTGAGAGCTGTTACTCTTGTTAGGAATTTCTACATAGAAAAATTCCAAAAATGTTTATGGGTTGTAAATCTAAGGTAGTTCCTCTCTACATCTTAAGTTTTCAAGGAAAGGCAGCATTTAGTTCTAAGGGTGCTTAATATATTACTGATTTGGTTTTTGAATACTTTTGATGATTGTACAAATTGAAGAATT